CCTGTCGCCGCTGCAGGTCCGGGCGCCGACCATGAAGCTCCAGCTGCTGGTGTCCACCGGGATGCTGCTGGTCGCGCTCCTGCCCTGCCAGGAGTGCAGAGCCGTCAGCAAGAGCCCGCCGGGGGCTCCGCGCCAGCCAGACTTCTTCCCGCAGCAGCAGCAGCAGCAGCAGCAGCAGCAGCAAACCCTGCCCGTCCTGCTCCGTATGGGAGAGGAGTATTTCCTGCGCCTGGGCAACCTGGACAGGAGACCCGTGGCCTCGTTGCCTGCCCCGTCCAGCGGCACGGGCCACGAGCCCCCCGAGGGCGCCGCCGAGCTGGTGCGGGCAGCGGCTCCCGAGCGCCCGCCGGGCGGCCCCGCGGGCGACGCCGGCGCCGTGGAGCGGGAGAAGCGCTCCGAGGAGCCGCCCATCTCCCTGGATCTGACTTTCCACCTGCTGCGGGAAGTCCTGGAGATGGCCCGCGCCGAGCAGCTGGCGCAGCAAGCCCACAGCAACAGGAAACTCATGGAGATCATCGGGAAGTGAGAGCCCCCCCCGCCCCGCCTTGCCAAAGAGATTCCGCGGTTAGCACGGGAGTAATTCCACAGTCCGATGTACCATAGTGCTGCTCTGGTGTCATCTCTTTATTTTTATATAGCTTTAAACCTAGAAGGGGGTACTCCGACCAGCCTCCGTCCCTTGACTAGCATGCACAGCCGCGTACCAAGTGCAGAAACACGAGTGTCGTTCGTAACCTCCCCTACCTTTATTTATTTCTCCATTTCCCAGTTATTCTAGTGACATCGCTGCGTAGGGATGTGTGAGCATTGGGAAAGAAAGATTGCTGCCAAGAAGACAGATAACTTTTCTGGTGGGGGCAGGGAGGTGGGAGGGGGAATCTCTGTAAGCTACTTTAAATCCACTTTCTCCTGTAAACATTTTCACAATAAAACATCTTTTCAGCGCTCGGTCAATTTTGTTGTGTAAGAGAATGTTTAATATTTATATTTTTAATAAAAGCTGCAAAGTGACAACGGCCTGATAGACTTTCTTGCCTTCCCCCAGTGCTCACCCGCAGGTCGGGGGACGAGCGCGGGGCCGCCCAGCCGGCCCCCCCGCCTGGGAGCTCGGCATTATCCCGGCAAATGCCGCTTCTCCCACGCCCCGGGAATCTGTTCCCCTTCCCTCTCCGTCTCTCTCTCTCCCTTTTTAGTTTCTTTCTTTATCTATTAGTGGTGTTTGTCCTCCTGTTTTCACACCTACACTCCCTTCTGCTCCCTTGTCCTGTGGTGGAGATGTGGAGCCAGCTCCGTCTCGGGGGCATTAAGGAGGTTGTGGTGGATGTGGCAAAACTCTGAGGGAGCACCTGCTAGAAATCTGCTGGGATGACTGGGATCAGGATAACAACTCCCCACGCCAAACTAAATCCATGGGGAAAATTCCCATCAGAAAATGGTAACGATGGTGCAGAGAGGTGGCCGCTCCAGGCAGGAACATCTCAAAGCTCTTTACAGACCTCACCTACATGACCTTCCAAAACTTCTCTCGAAGTAACACTTTGCAGGGCTATGAGGACTTGCCGATGTGGCCTGGGCCCTGCCCTGCAGCGCTGGGTGGGTGGGTGGATGGGTGGATGGATGGATGGATGGATGGATGGATGGATGGATGGCAGGAGGGACGGATGGGTGGATGGCAGCCCCTCGCCTGCGAAGCAGCCACCGCGTTGGACCCGCTCTGCCAGGCTCACCAGGGGCAGCCCAGCCCAACAAATGGGCTTAGGTTCTGACTCAGGGTTCCTGAAAAGATTCACACGGAACTAGATCGGAGCTTAAACCTGCTCCTCTATGGTCACTCTTGGCAACCTGCCCATCTCCCTTAAGCACAGCTGAGTGCTGAAACCCTGTCCCCAGTTTTCCTTCAGTGCATCCTATGGAGCTTCTCTGCTTTTAAGACAGAAGCCCGGTCTCCTTAGCCGCCTGCATCTGCTGTGCACATGGAACAGGACATTSAGCGCCAGCCTTTTCCACAGGGCGCCGCGGCGCGCTCCGATCGAGCCCTTACCCAATACCTGCGGCCACCTCGCTGCACCCTGGCTTCGTGCAAGGACATGTCCCCTCCCCGGGCGCTGCTCCCGGGGATCACTGAGATGGCAGGTTCTGGTTGCACCGGCACGTGGGCAGCGCTCCAGCCGCTTCCCCGCGCGCTCCGAGCGGGACGGAGGCAGGACGGAAGGAGGGAASAAGCAGCGGCTTCTCTCTCCCCCCTTGCCTTTGGCTCCTGCAGTGCRTGGTGCCCCGGTACTGTGGGTCCCCACGTGACCACGGGGAGGGATTTAGACTTAACCCTGATTTGGGGGTGCTCAGGAGGGACAGTTTCACTGACGTGGAGATGCTGTGGGCAAACAGTGTCGGGAAAAGATACTACTAGGGAATACTGTATTAGCATTTTAACTAACAACATGGATGAAGCATTTACACCTACATGAAGACATGCTGAAAAGTGAATAAATAGTGAAGCATTCGCAGTGCTCATCCTACAGCAGTAGCAATGCCATTTTCCCCTTGGAAACGAGAAATCATTGGAAAACACTCTGACTACGGCAGCATAGCAGTTTGTGCCCGTGCTCCCACCCTTCCCGGGACGCCCCCACGCCAGGGGCCGGGTGCGGTGCGGTGGTCGGCGGAGCCCCCTGCCCGGAGGCCCCTTTGGAGGCGCGTGTGCCCGGCGGCCGCGGCGGGCGGGCGGGCGGCCCCTCGGAGCAGCACCCAGGAGGCAGCCCGCGTGAGTCATCACTCGCTCAGGGAGTTCAACCAGGAGAAGGAGAAGACGTGACGAGGCGGCTCGGCAGCCCGCGCGCCGCTCGCCGCCGCCGGCGCCTCCGCGCACGGCTCACAGCCACCCTGCGAAGGAAGCGACAGAGGCAGGAGGTGAAGTGAATAAAAGTCCTTCACGTCGCACAACGTAATAATGATAAAGCAGCAGGACGAAGTGGGTAACGGGAGAAAGGAGGGGGACTCCGGGAGTAGTTTAGCCGGAGCAGGAACACCGGAGAAGCCAGTGGGACTTTTGCCACCAGCACTGGTAGGGGAAGGATTGCACTGCGTGTGTGTGTGTTGTCCCTGAGCAAAGGGCTTAATCCTGATCCGGGCCTCTGGGGTATCACTGCAATGAAGGTGCTAACTGCCTCTTCCTAAGCGATCCTGAGCCAGCTTGGCTTGTGGAGCTGGGCTTCCAGATTGATGTGGGCCTAAGCCAAAGCTTATTGTCAGTGCACTGCCACTCAATGTGATACTTGTTCAGCTGTCATAAAATGTGCCTTGGACGTGTTGTTTTTTGGTTTTTTTTTTTCCTTTGAAGTCTTTTATTTTCTTTCAGTCTTACTTAGCCCAAAAAAAGGAAATAAGTAATGCAGAAGTGCTTCTGCTTCTACCCAAAGGTGCAGAAAAGAGGCATCCTACACTTACAGTAAAAAAGGAATCTGGACTTGATATGCTGTACCTGCTAATTACTGACAGGAGTTATTATTATTATTTAATTATCTGAACGTTTAACACTTCACTAGAATACAGAGAAATACTTGTGCTCATCTGAGAGTCTTCAGATCCCTCGGCAGAGTGAAGACTAGCTTTGTGCTATCATCAGAAATGCCATGAAAGGTAAAATAAACAAAATGGGTTTTTTGCTAACTAAGGGATGCTTTGTGTCTGCAGTATTAAAACCACAATTACCTCCATACATATATACACTACCGTACATGCCTAACATTAAAATAGTAAGAGCCTCGGACCCTCAGTCCTGGTGCTCTCTGTGCAGGATTCTGCCTTACTTTGGGAGCTCCAGCAGGACTGCAGGAGGACAGGACTGTTTGATGTCAAGATATAGCACAGTGGAGAGAAAAGGGCAGACCTGTGTCCTCTGAATTTGAACACATTTCCATCATTTATAACGCTCCATCATTTATAACACTGTCCCAAGCCAGAAAAGACCAAAGCAGCGATGCTAACACACATGTCCAGGAGCAAACAGTGAAGCAGGGATGCTGATGAAGAAGTGGAGCATGGGATGGGTGATTTTTCTATGCATTTTGGTAAGTATTTAATGTTAAAGTGTGCTGCAGGAATTAGCAAGAAGTGATGGCAGGTTATGTACAAACTGGCGAGTGGGCTTCATTCCAGTTACTACCTGTTTGAGTGTCCTGCCACCAACAGACAAGACAGCACAGAGGTATAAAACAGATCCATACCACTGTACTTATGTCTAATCAGAGATATTATTCAAATGCAGACCCTCAGTTGTTCTGGACTGGAACAGCCTTAATAGTTTCAGCGAACTGCTAGGTGAGATTCTGCCTTAATGTTTGAAACATGGGCTAATCTTTCCACGTTTTTGCATTAGCGTTTTTGCAGTAAGGCACCTCTGCTTCTTGCTGCAAAACACAGGACGCAGAAAAGGATTTTTTAATGGGCATGAAACTTCTCAAAATCATATTGCTTTTGCTCACTGATCTCGGTGCTGAAAAGAGCCGAACGCAAACCTTGTGACTGAAACGGTGTGGCCCAGACAGCAAAGGGCAGATAGCTGCAGTGAATAAATGGCTAGATTTTCAAAGCTGTACAGAATTCTGTGCTTGCTGGCTYTCACTGGATGCAGAAGTGGAGCTCCGTGACGTTGAAAATTTTGCCTTTCATTTTGGAAGGACAGCTGAAGTGCTTGGGATAGCTAAGCTCATTTGGGAACTGATTGTGCAATTCTGTGCACCGAGCCCTCAGTGCTGTGTGTAACCCTGCATAGGGCAGCCTCCCCCACGTTTTTTCCTCCTGGAAAGAGGTTTAAAAAACCATTCCCTGCCTTTTTATTCCTTTTCTACTTGAATGACTCYGGTACCTTGTCATTTCTCTTGCTGTCCTTGATCACTTCCATTTGCTGTTCCAACCCACCATTATCCAGAAACATCCTGTAACCAAAGCTTAGCTTAGAAAGAAAGAACCATTTATGAGCTTAAGGTTAAGCAGCTTGTTTCATAGACTTTGGCCCTAGAAGGGCTAGAAGAAATAAAGCACAACATAAAGATTTACACTGGAAAGGTGTCTGCATCACCTTGCTAACTAGCACTGCCATCACCGCATTTCAAACAAAGCAATCTGTGTCTACATCCCTGAGAAAACTCTATTTCATCATGTGTTAACTCCTTCATATTCTGATGTGATGACATCTTTCCGTGTCAGCAAAACAACGCCGGAGCTCCAGCAGATTCCCAGCAGGGCTGGCTGCGGGAAGCATTTGCTCCCAGCCGCTCTCCGGGCTCAGCAGGCTGCCAGTCTGCAATATCTCCACGCGCCTTTCCAAGAGCAATAATTTGCCATCATGCCCAGAGGGGAGTGAAGCAAGAGCAGGGCTTTTAGACCTGTGTTTTCACACCTGGGACATTTTGGCAGTCATGCTCCAAACTGGACAGCAGCTGAGCTATGTTATCCCTATGTGAGCCAAGGGACCATGGAAAGGGATCTCCAGTCTGCCCGTACTATTAAACCCATTTTGCCCTTGCAACAGCAGTCCACATGGCTCAGGGCAGTTTGAGACAAAGATTTCTGCTTCTRCAGAAAAGAACTACTTGAACTGGAAGCAATGTTTAGGTAGAAGGTTGAAGCGRGTCCCCTCAGTGTCAACAGGATCTGGACGTCCAACCTCTCTGCAGGTCCTTGCAGTGTCACCCCAGAGCACTCTGCTTTTGCTGTCACTGCAGCCCCCCTCCACGGTCTGGGAAGAGCTTTCTGCTGAGCATGGCACAGCTTTTGCCACATGCTTTTCAGATGTTTCAGATACAACATTTCGTTGCGCTTGTCCATCACTATTATTGGGTAACTGTTGTTAAGCTTCTACCTGCGCTTTATCTTTTGGTCTTGGAAATCTCATGGGTAGGGCTTGTTTTTCACACTGCCTAGAATAACAAATCCCTACCCTCCATTTGGGTCCCTAACATTAATAAGGAATAACTAAAGTGTTTACCTCAGGCTGGATTAATCACATTAGGCCAATGCTGAGAGAGTGCTGAATACTTACGCCTTGATTTATGTTTTCCCCTGTGGTGTCGGGTGACATCAGATGATGCTCTCAGTAAGCACCAGGAATTTTCACCAGGCCAACGCATGTAGCAGGAAGGGCAGCACACCCTGCGTGAGTGGGGGCTGAGTTTGCTTTTGGCATAGGCGAAGGCCTAGCTGGGCTCACGTGCCAGCTCTTTGGAGGTGCTGAGCAAGGAGAAGTCCCACGGAGCGGCCCTTTTCGGATGGGCTGCACTGAAGCTGCAGGTACTCAGCATCTTTCAGCATTTGCTTCTTTAAGCACAAGCACTAGTCAAATTTCTATAGAGTTCTGAGAAGGAGTGTGGGTGACAGGAAAGGGGTAAGATACTGTTAGTAGTGTTTTCCTTTAATAGGACACTGCAGTTATGCTGATTATGTTGGTAAAAATAGGCAGTCTAGAGTAGGTGCTTGAAACACCATGAAGCCCACACACTCTGCTCAGCTTACATCCACTGATCGCCATGACCTTCATGTATGGGACTGCGATTCCTCTTACCAAATTTTAGCCACTCTTAAACGAGACGTTCAGTCAAGCAGATTGYATTCAGCCCTTTTGAGGGCACTAGCAGAGGGTGCTTTGCCCCATCCTAAAAGATCTGTCTATGGACAGATTGCCTTATGGAGATACCTGTTTCTAACTTTGACTCTAAGGTTCTTGGTGACCAGGTTAGACTAGATCTGATTTTAAAATGATTACACATAGAAGATCTTAATTTTGAAAAGCATCAAGGAAAGGTGAAGAAACGTAACTCTTCTTCAATTTGCTTTTTGTTCGGGGCACTTTTTTTCTTTTCTTTGACTTCAATTTAGGTAGGGCCTGTAGAAGCCATGGTTCTAATGGCCTTCTCTAAGGTTGTATCACCCCAGCTTGCAAGAGAATGGGAGAAATAAAGAGAAACGAGAGCTGAACTAGTTGGTTCCCCCAGGGCTGTAGATCACCCAGTAGTATATTTTATCTGAATGTTGCATGAGTAAAACAATCCCAATTTTGTCTAATTAGTCAGAACACAAAAATGGTTGCTGGCTTTAGGCTGACCATAAGAGGATAGATTATGCCTTTCTTGGCAACGCAAAAGCAACTTTCTCAAATTCTTTTTCAACTKTTTTTAGACAACCATAGCGAATTTGTACCAGTTGAAAACTTTTGGTCACCTCAGGATGTTATTTTTGAGTTAGTACTGAGCTCTCTAAAATTGTGTTTACCATCTTGTGGAATCACAGTCTCCAATTTGAGCTAACGAGAAAGACCTAGATTTACACTGAAATGAGTGAAAAGAGAATGCATGTGACTTACTAGGAATCAATGAGCCTGGGAAAGGAATCTATTTCTTACAACAATTGCTCACGGTGACTCTAGCTGGTTACAAACAGCCCTTTCATGCACCTGCATAAATGTTTTCCCGAGCTGTGCTAACCAAAGGCAGATCCTGCTGCCTGGCACGCCGTCCCTCYGTGGCTCACTGTCCATCTGCATTGCTGCAGCTGTTGGCAGCACTGTGCTCACGATGGCCATAGTGCTGGAATGACATCAGTTGTTTTGTTTTGTTTTTGAGGTGAAGGAAGATATTTTTAACCTGGACCATTTGGGCGCCGATGCCAACACAGCCCCACAAACAGCTGCATCAGCACAACCGCGACGCGCGTGGTGGCATCCGGGCAGGAACAAGAAGCAGCTCCATTTGGCAAGAACCTCCTAAACCACCTTTGCTGCCAGAGAAAGAAAGGCAAGGGTGCCTTGGAAGCACCACCCACTTCTCTCACTGCTCCCTTTGATCCAGTGGGAAAGCAAGAGTGTAAATTTGGAGGAAATCGGAGCTTCTTGCTCCCAAGGTTTCTGTAGCCTCAGAAAATGAGCGAGAAATTATGGTTAATTCTGATATTTTAGCTACCTTGCTCAGAAACAACCTGCAGCACTGACAAGAACAAACATTATTAAAAAATGCTGGCTGGTCGCAAAGCCCTCACAGAACCTGTAGGCTATGTTTGCCTGCCACAAATGTCAAGTGTYACACTCCTGGCACTCAGTACTTCCAGGCAGCGGAAACAAAGGGAGCACAACAGGTTATTTTTAAATAGTTTAAACTTTAGTTCAAGCATTTTGTTTTCATATTTTTATGCAGTCTAGCTCCTTCAGCATAACMCCTGGCAGCTGTCACATCTATCACAACACTACTGCTTCAGGCTAAGAGGCAGCTTATTTTACATGGATCTTTTCTTTCTATTAGTGGGAGCCAGCAGAGTATCCTCTGAAATAATTGCTAAGATTCCCTGCCACTAAAAACACACAGTGAGAGACAAAATAACACAAACAGACAAACTCCATCAATCATAGTCCTAGCTGTGTGTGACTCTGAAGAGTGGCCATAATGAATTTTACATGTCCACTAGGAACAAATGCTTTTCTTTAATAGATTTGCATCATATTACAATTAGCATTACGTGGCTAATGGCTAATACAATGTCTCTTACTTAATGGTCTTTGAGACTAAGTTCGGGAAAAACTCGCCGAGTTTATTTTGGTTGCAGAATCTCTACATCTCCCACAAGACACCAATGTCCAGACATGTGAATTAGTGGTGGAAACAGTTCTAGAGAATGGTTTAACAGAGTGACTTGTTTCTGATCAGTGTTTGAGACAAACTAAATGCATTTCTCCTTTCTGTATAATTAGTCTTTTTCATAATCGATATAAAATGCCAATGATAAGACATCCTTTTAATACCAGAGCTATTATTACATCTTAAAAACGTGAATGCTATAGCTGCACCATCAAAACAGTCTTTCCTGAGTTTATCCACACACCATTCTCTGATCCTCTCATAACTGAGTTTTTGAGGACCTCCTCATCAATGAGCCATCTACCATTTCTGCTCCTTTCCCAGCCCTACTGGAGAAGTGTCCAGTGAAGAAAAGGATCATCCTGAGACTGTAGGAGCAAGCAGTCAGTGCTGGTCACAAGTATCAGTAAGTTCCTTGCTTCACAGAATCAACAGGTACAACTCGAGGTGAACAAGTGAAGCAAAGACCTTCCAAGTACTCCCCTGTGGTAGTGACCCATCTGATCCATGTCAAAGAAATACTCCTATTGACTTCTAGAGACATAACAAATCTAGTAGTAGCTTAACATCAGTATGTCAGTGTGCACTTAGTCTTTCCACTGAGTAACAGTGTTGTAAATTAGAGCCTTTTCTTTCTCCCCAAATGATATTTTTGCAAGCCCAGCACATGAGAGACAGCGCCAGGTCAGGCTGTGACTCACCCTGGAGCTCCATTCACTGGATCAGATAACGGCGCCGAGGCGCTGCGAGGCGCACGCTGCCCTTCGGAGGCTGGAGCACTGCGTACGCCTGCACTGTGAGTGATGGACTCGCTGATATACGTGAGCTGTGGACCCATCACACGCTCACATGGTGAGGGTCAGAAATACCCTGACAGGAGGAAACGCTGGAACGTCAGCTAAGCAACAGGTCTCTGTTCTTTAAAGTCACCATGTAATGGAAAGACAGTCCACGCCACAGTYAAAGCTCCCTTTTCACCTCACTGCCTGTTGCCCCTTTTTCCTCTGCACTTATTTTCCCATGACTTCCGTCACCCGAATCGTCTCTTTCTGGTGACCACAGCAATCAAAGTGGGTAGCCAAGGGATGACTCTGCTCCAATAATAATACTTTGCTCAGCGAGCAGCACCGTGGCTTCCTGGCCGGGTGCCTGGGGTATCGTGTCTCACATCACCATCTATCCCCAGGCGTGAGCAAGGCTGGCCTGTCCACACACTACTCAGACGACCTATGTGCAAGTATTAAATCGGGATGGGCTTCCTGCTGCCCATCTCGCMTGGCTCCCACGTGAAGCCTGGAGAAGCGGTGATAAATGCTGCTCTTAACGGTGC